AAAAAAAAAAAAAAAAAAGTAGAAGTTGGGCCATCAAGTAGAGCGATATGGCAGAAAGGGAAGCAACACTGGTCAGGGTGGGAGTCAAGGTTAACCTAGAACATATTCCAGAATCCCTTACAATCCTGAGGGGTCTGTGGGTTTTACACCTCTAGAACACGTTTCTCGTTACCAAGAAGATGCGGGAAGTGAGGTTTTTAACTTTCTGACACAATGGCAAGAGAAATTATTAACACAAACCCACAGGTTCACAACCGGAGAAACGGATCAGGTCTGAATACCTTTCCAAACTGCCGTAGAAGCTGAATAAATGCTCCTTTTCCGAAGGGGTTAGTAAGACTTGCATGGAAAGCAAGTGTTGGATAATCCTGGGAGAGGACAGCAACCCATCGTTTCTAAAGAGGGAAAAGAAGAGATGCTGGAAAATTGTAATTTGCTTATAATACAGGAAGAATGAGAGCTTGAATTACAGGATTGTGCTTCAAAAATACACAGCTGTCTATGGAAAATGTTAGCTATAATTCTTTGAAATGATTTTCTCAAGTATAACAGCTAATGCTTTGTCTTTTGTCTTCTAAATACAAAACAATATTCCAAAAATGCTTTCATTGCTAATAAATGCAATTAATGTAACATGATGTGAACCAGGCCAGCGGCAGCCACCTCCTCCTGAAGGGGTGCACTGAGCTGCCCTGCTACCAACCATCAAAGTTAAAAGGTAACACTGCCCAATTAATGAAGCCGTTTCAGTTGTGTTCGATGAGAACACTTCAATGACTACAATCTCAAGAGTGCAATGCTTTAACTAATGCCCCAAGTCCTAGAAACCACAAATCTAATTAATTTATAGATTAATTTCACTCAAAGCTTCCATGAGTTGAGTGGCCCCAGGAGTCTGTTTTGCATCAGCAGCTGTACTTACTGTTGCCCACGTTGGAACAAGGTCACATTTGTTAAGAACAAAGATGAGGTGTTTCCACGGCTTCTCCTTTTTCAAGTAAGTCTCGATGTGAGGGGAACGGGTACCCATTGGGTCTCGAGCATCAAGAACCTGAACTACAACATCTGATGAATCTATCACCTGCAAATTCAAAAAGGCAAAAATGATTAGCTATTGTACAAGGTTAAAATGAACAAGGGCTGACATTGAAGGGTACCCAGGGAAAATTAAACAATAGCAGTAACTTCACAGCAGTCTTATGAGAGTTGAATGTAGACAATCTCAATGCCCAGTGATCAGAATTCAAACGTTTCTTCATTCTGTGGGTATCTGAAACTTGTTGAATTTCAAATAGGAAAGCTAGCTTAGATGAAACTCATCTTATTCATGACTACTACGCATTATTGAACAGAATCATTTACTTCTTAAGACTTCTAAAAGTTTCTACTATAATAGGTTTTGTGTATTTTACAAAAAACATACTTAATTTGCTTTCATGGTAATAGTTTCCTACTATGTTACTGTTTAATTATGCAACTATGCCTGAAGGTCTTTGTTACTGAAAATACTACTAGTGTGTGGATGAAGCTCAGCCAGCTGAAAAGCACTGACCAGGACCCAGGATACACAAAGACCCCACTAACCAGCCGGGTGAGCGGGGTAAGGTATTCAACCTTTCTAGACTTCTGTCCTATGAAATAAAAGGCCTGTACTACATAACTAAAAAATTCTCGTGCAACTCTAACCATGTATGGTAAATCTAAACAGGATTCTCATTTCAGTAGGTAATCCAAAGAAACACTGACAGAATATATGAATGTACATAAGGTAGCTGTTACTTTTATACAAGTAATAAAAATGCAGTTATCTGAACCAATGGCAGTATGCTCCTGGCTACGTCAATCCTGGTTTCTCCGGGAGAAAGGGAATGAACGGGCAGAAGAGCCAGCGCTGTATCCGACAGAGCTTCAACACGTCACAATCAGTTTTCTCATATAAGACTGTGACAGCCAAAGGGACCAGTCACTGAGAGGAGGTTCAAAGTCTTACCTTGTAGAGCTCACCCCATATTCTTCTGGACTGTCCCTTTTTGTATATCTCCTCTTGGGCTTCATTTCTAAAGAAGAAAGCAACCCCAAGTGAGCCACTGAAGCACCGTGAGTATGAAAAGGATGTTCGAAGGTAAAGTCAACCACATAGCAAAGGGAAAGGGTATCACTAGTTGCAGATGGACCAAAAACAAACTTAACTTTAAAAGTGACTCTATCTAAATGTCCGTTGACAGGTGAGTGGATTAAAACCGTGCATGCCAGCCAGTAATAAAAAAGGATGGGGCACCGGTTAGCGCCTTGAAGACACCATGTTAGCGAAACAGGCCAGCGCAAAGGACAACTACTGTGTGACTGCACTTCCATGAAGTCTTAACTCGAAAGAGCAGCTGAACTCATGAGGGATAGAAAGTAGAATGAACGATGGTGGCCAGGGGCTAGGGAGGGGGGAATGGGGAGCTAGTGTTTAATGGGTAGAGTTTCAGTTTGGGATAATGTGAAAAATTCTCGAGTGGGTAATGGTGATGGTTTCATAACTATGTGAGTGTACTTAATGCCACTGCACTATACGCTTAAAAAAGGTTCAAGTGGTAAATTTTGTTATGAATATTTTACCACAATAAAAATTTTTTAAAAGCACATGTCATTAGGCAATTTGTCAGAGAATTATGAAAAGGAATCGGCAGGACATGAACCATAGTCTATGCTCCATCGTTCCCATGTAAAGTGAAATTTTTCTGATGAAGTTGAGAATCTGTTTATTTACTAGCCTCAAAGACATTTACCCAATGACTTTCAAACAAAAACAGTTTTGTCCCCCACCTTCCCATTACCTACTGTATCTTTTGGGGGAAGAAAAAAATTCAAATCAGCAACTAAAAAGTCCAAATAATTCTAAGAATAAATGAACCTGCTGCCTCTTTTTGCTGGGCCTCACCCAATGCTTGGCATGGGCTGACAGCAGCATTGCAGTGGCATCACTGCAGTCAAGGGACAATGCCTCTTTGCTAAGAGACATGAGAGCCCTGGCCAGGTAGCTTAGTTGGTTAGAGCATCATCCCAATACACCAAGGTTGCCAGTTCTATCCTTGGTCAAGGCACATGCAAGAAACTACCAATGAATGCATAAGTAGAACAACAAATCGATGTTTCTCTCTCTCTCTCAAAATCAATCAATAAAAAATTAAAAAAAAAAAAAGAGACACAGGAGAAAGAATAGGGACTGTCAGGCACTGCCGGGAAAAACTAAATTGGTGACCCCTTTCTGGAAGGCAATGTGGCAGCTGTTCATCAATGCAGACACCGTCTTTGATAACGGTCAATTCCCCCATGAGAGTTTACTTCCGGGTAATAATTAAGGATGAGAAAGGTTTAGTCATGTGGATGTTTTACTCTAACCATAAACAGTGTAAATGTCCAACAGTGGGACTGGTGACAACAAAACACTACTCTGACATTAAATATTACACTGCTGGCCCAGATGGCGTGGCTCAGTGGTTGAGCATCAACCTATGATCCAGGAGATGGTGGTTCGATTCCCAGTCAGGGCACATGCCCAGGTTGTGGGCTCAATCCTCAGTAGGAGGCGAGCAGGAGGCAGCTGATCAATGACTCTCTCATCATTGATCTTTCTATCTCTCTCTCCCTCTCCCTTCCTCTCTCTGGAGTCAATAAAACATATTTTTAAAAAATTACATTGCTGTTAAGGACTGAATGAAAACATACTCTTTAACAATTTGGAAAAATGTATTCGAATTAAAGGCAAGCTAAAATACAGTCTTAGGGCATTTTATTTGTAAATAAAAATTAAATGTAAGAAAGATCTAGAAGAATATGTATATATATAGGTGACTGATTCTTAACCTTCTATGGGGTATGGACCCTGTGAGAATATGACGAATGTATGGACCCTTTGTCTCCTCCTACCTCCCCAAAACAATACAAAACAAAAATGAAAACAACAAACTCCCAACACCTTTATACACATACATAAATCTTGAATTCTTATTTTTGTTGCATTTCAATTTTAACAGTATTTCCTAATTTGCCCATTGCTGAATACACTGCTCTTACAATGAAGAAGAAAATGTTTCTTATTTTTACTGTGGGGACAGAGGCCTATAGTAAACAAGTCACCTTACAGTCTTTGGTCTGGCCCCAATTCCACTAATTTCTCTAGTCTAAAGAAAGAGGACAACTCTCCATCTATGAGTTAAATCACTGAGCTTCACACAGGCGAAATAAGTCGAGAAAATGTTCTGTTGCAGAAGAGCAAATGATGAGACCTGCATGAACTTCGAAACTGTACCTCACACCCGTGTCTTCAGTTACCAAATCCCGATCCTTGCCCTGGTCATAGCTCTCAGTGGACATTTCTGCATTTTCTACAAGAGACTGCATGTCACTCGCAAATAAATTTGGTCGCTTCCTCTGTGCCTTTGGGCCAAATGTAGTTTCAAAGCTTTCAGTATCAAGAATGTGCACCTTCGAGTTCTAAAGAGAAAGGACAATTATTGGTAAAACTAAGGAAAGCACTGAAATAAAGCAAAAAATTAAAAACCTATCTAGGCAAGGCTTTCTGCTATTTTTCCAAAGCTCAATCCACACCAAAATCTACATGGATACAGCGGATTTCAAATCACAAATGCTTACTTAAATAGCAAAAGCACTTATTCCTATATTCTGAAGTTCTGTAAGTTTCCTTGGAGAAACACAAAAGTAATACAAATAGTCAAAGCAAATATGAATAGTTGTGCAAGACTTGCCAAAAATTCTGCTTTATTTTATTTATCATAAACTTTAGTCAAATGTAATTAAGGCTACAATGCTGAAAATTAACTGATCTTTTCTGACCTTTTTTTTTTTGAGCTTTCAAACAAGTGCATAAAATTCATCAAATTCACAGATCTTGTCAAGGATGATCATACTCGAATTTGTGAGGTTTTTTTTTAAACCAACTGTAAATGCCAACTTTTTCTTGGAAGTTCATTTCTTTCATGGCTAAAAGGAATTGCTTGTTTTGTAAGATGCATTTTAGTTTCAGATAACATTTTCCCCAATTTAGGTAACATTTTTATTAAATGCACATGGGAAGTCCTCTGAGGAAAAACATCTAGCAAAAGTCCAAAATAATAGTTTAGATGTGATAAAAGGAACCTGATACTAACTAGAACTTGATGTGACTGTAAAGGAGTCACGGGCATAGGAATTTTTGAAGCCGGATAAAAGTCAGAGTTTGAGTTAGCATCTATCACGTAACAGAATGTTAACAGCCGGCAGATGAGATCCTCAAAAAAAAGAAACAAACCACCCTCTGCCCCTCAGTACAAGCTCCTCTGTAAGCGCAGCTACTAAACACAGATGATGGAACAACCCAGTGGCTTCTGAACTTTAACAGAAACCCCCTCCAACTCCTAAAGACCTTTAAGCTGTTATCATTTTCTCAAATCCTCTAACGCATCTCTTAGTTTAGTTTAACTCACTATAAGGGAACATCCCCAAACTCGGAAACGTTTACATGGGAACTAGGTTCTAACGTCACTGGGGAAATTATGATCAAAATTATCTTTGAAAATCTCTTAACCTATAAAGTACAGCACCTGTGGATTTGTGTATATATATCCTACACATCAGTAAAACACAGTAATATGCAGTACATAATGAAGCATTCATACAAAATAAGTATGTTTAATATAATGCTACAGAAATATAATTATAATGCACATTTAGCTGAATGTGCAAAAGTGAAAACCATATCTGATTTGACTCCACTCTGCAGCAGTCTCCAAATTAGATTTTATAATGAGTAGTAGATATCATGTTAAAATAAAAGTTAAGGTTTCTTGAGACCAAAGCAGAAAACTCATCAATTACTCTAGAGTATCCATCTGCATCAAAATGCAAGCTGACTGCTGTAGCTGCAGAGCCTTCACTCTACAGATCAGATAGTTAGGCACTGGGATTTGGAAGCACTGAACAACTGCAATGGGCAACAAATCAGTAATCCATAATAGAACCTCTCTGTTCTTCTCATAAACAGGATTCAATAGTTTGTTGAAAGATGGCTTTAGGGGGAACAGACAAAGAGAACAAGGGAAATGAGCAACTTGTCTGTGGTTCATGAATTACACTCATGTGTTTCCCTGAAAGAAAACAGTCATTCCACTAATAGGTGCCATTCTTCTAGTCTGTCATAAAACAAAGCATAATTGATAAAACCTGAGGCAATAACCAGGCCTCGGTTTTTATTTTGTTCTGCAAGTAAACACTTTTCTTTGAACTGTTAATCCATGTATGCATGTCAATGTTTTCTTCCCCTCCTTATACTGGAACTGAAGCTTATGCACGGGCTCCGTTTCTGGGAATTATTATTCAACGCAAGTAAAAACGTGCAGGAAAACATTAGGCCATTTTTTTGGTTCTGTGTGCAACTCATTCTACTCAAGCCAGATTGAGTTCTTACTGTACTTTGAACTTCCATGATTAACAACCAATCTGACCAGCACCCTTTCCTTCAGCTCAAAATAATCTCCACAGATCTCTCAGAAGCTCCAAATACACACCACCAAAGCTCTCCTTCCTACCAATCCCAATTCTACCTTTCCCCAAAGTCTGATGGAATTATTGCTTAAACAAGTTTGCCTACCAAAAAAATTTTAAACAGTATTAGTAATAGCTATGATCTACTTAGCTCTGATTAGGTGGCGGGCTGTGTGCTCACTATATGCAAAGAGTTTTACTGATGTTTCATTTGCATCCAGTCACCCGAGGAGGTGGGTTATCTTGACTCTACAGCTGGGGAAGTGAAAGCTCAGAGAAATGTAACTAAGGCCATAGGAGGGGGTAGAGCAAAGATTAAAATCCAGGTCTCACTCCAAAGCCAGTGCTTTGATCAGCATAGTACTGAAACCCCGACAGAATGCAATTCATACTAAAGGTGAGACCCCCTAAGAAAGGTGAAGAGAGAAGTCTCGGAAAGCGCATTAGCACTGCATCAAAGTCACTATTCTCTATGGAAAAACAAAAGACAGATATGGCAGAGACAATCTGCATGGCATTTGCCAACAAAATTCCACTGCCAGGCTCTCCATCTTACATGAGGCTGGATTCGATCATGGAGAAGAGACATGGGTAACTTGCTTTGCTTCATGACAACTTTGTAAGGATCCTTCATAACTGTATCCATTTCCTCTTGAAATTTTTGTAATGATGACTGCTTAATCACACGTGTGTTTCCTGTTTTACAAAAGAATGTTGCCATTTAATAAACAACCCCTTTTTGATTCTGCATCCATCTTCCCAATGACACAGGAAAAGGCAAGATTTTAAATTACCCTTGCTCACCCAAACACCTGATACATCCATCCATGCACTCATTTTCAAAACTTAAAAGAGGAAAAAGCCCTGGCAGGTGTGGCTCGGTGATACAGAGTACTGGCCCTTGAACCGAAGGGTCATGGGTTCAATTTCCAGTCAAGGGCACACGCCTGGGTCGCAGGTTCAATCCCCTACCCGTCAGGGCTCGTGAAGAAGGCAACCAATCAATGTGTCTCTCTCACACCGATGTTTCTCTCTCCCCTCGCACCCCCCTTCCATTCTCTAAAAAAAATCAATGGAAAAAATATCCTCGGGTGAGGATTAACCAAAAAAAAAAAAAAAAGGGGGG